TCAAAAAAAAAAAAAAAAAAAAAAAAAAAAAGACGAGGAAGGAAAACTTAGTGGACAGCCCCCATTGTATCAGCCTAAATGGTTATACCATGAACCTTAGAGCTATCAGCTGCATTAGTTTTTTGTACGGTTTCTCAGTAGCCTCTGCTTGTTTATCAGCCTTTTAGGCTATTTATGTTTATTCCTTTATTCCTTTTAGGCACAGGAGTAAGAACTCATACAGGTGTCCAAAGACCAACGGAGTCAGTAGCTCACCAGTTTCACTGCAGGGATTGGTTGAAGTATATACATGTTGGTATGCAGGCTGGAGAGGTTACATCTACTAAATGGTCCAAAATGGGAAATCTTTTAAGCTAATAACCAGGGATCAGAAAACGAAGCCTTCCAGCTTTGATAGATGGCACTCATTATTGCACCCTCTGCACTTACTTCCTGAAGTGCATCTTGCATTAACAAAAGCTGCCACTGGAAGCTTTGCATTTCCTTTACTGTTCTTTAGCAAAGGTCAGCAAGCTGCATCACCAAGGAGTGTCTGAACTGTGGGCACAAGGGACTCGCTGCTTATCAGCCCATACTGATGCTCACAGAGCCTCTGCTTTTCTCCTCTCCTTCATCGTATTGCTGCTGTTAAACAGAAGAGAAAATCTAGCTCAAGCACTGTAATGTTATCTGCCCTTTAGAGAATGCTCCCACTGTTGAAGCTTTCTGGTACTTTTTACTGCTTGAAGACAGAAATCTGTGCTGATTAAAAAAAAAAAAAAGTTAATTTCAACGGAAGATCACTCTGGGAAACTACTTTAAAAGATCTGCTTATGGCTAGTGAATGGCAGATTAATTTTATCTGAATGCAACAATGTTTCTCTTTCTTAATTTATGTTCAGGTCTAAAGTAACTGTAATTGTTCCAAAAGAAATATCATTTTATTAAAAAAAAAAAAAAAAGCATTCTCTTGAGCTGCTCTCAGAAAGGACAGAGTAGAACAGACAAGGCAAAAGGAGAAGAAAGTAAAAAATGAATAAAGAGAAGGCTGGGAGGAAAGAGAAAGAGAAGAAACTCAGAAAAAGCCTTTAGTCTAAAGAACCATCAGTCATACAGTTGATTGAAGAAGCAATACAAGTCTGAATCTTTTATTCCTTGTTCTATCTAACACATGTCAACATGCTATATTTAAGAGGCATGGTTTCAAACTGTTTGTGGTAAGACATCTTTTTGGTTGGTAGAAACTTCTTCTAGCACAGCCAGAGCCTCAAAGATGAATTGGGATTGCTTCTAAGCTACTGTGCAGCACAGCAATGATCCTTATTTATGCCTAAGTATTTGCAAGGAGGGAAAAAAAACAAGTTATTTAGCAGTAACTGCTGTTCTCTGAGACATGGAGTTGACATCTGCATTCATAATCCACACATAACTAGATTTTGCAGCACAAATAGCCGTGAAAAAGAGCATCGATGCTGCAGAAAAGCATTTTCCAAGTCAAATCAACTAGATGATTCAACATCTGCTGGAATAAGAGTGGGAATACTTTCAAAGAGGAAAAATACATTCAAAAGCCTCACACTTTTCTTTCAGTCTACCTTCCTCGTATAAATAACTGAGAGAAATAGCTGAATGAATATGAAGTCTTTTTTCCCCTAAAAATAGAGAGGGGAGAGAAAAAGGTTATTGGATTCTGAAAGGTATATGTCTACCTAGATATCTATATATATTAAAACCACAGAATGACATCACAGTCCATCTGAAACACTATCCAGCATTTTGGCAGAGGCCATGAAGAAAAATCTTAAAAAAATCCACCTATCAGGCCTCATCTCAAATACACATCTACTGATAGGATGGCCCGAATAATAAAACTCATGGAGAAAGGCTCATATTGAAATGTAAAAGTATCAGGGAAGCTGTAAACCAACAAAGCTGTGAATAACATTTCAGAATCAATGGAAGTCAATTCAGAGAAACTTAAATAAGTCAGACCATAGAAATATTAACTGAAGTTCTAAGAAAAAAAAGAAGCAGCCCTGATGTGTGGATAGTAAGGGTAACATTCAAAAGACATCTCCATTCGTTTACAAGTATGCTAGCAGAAATGTTTGAAGTTCATGCCCTACTACACCTTTTAGACACTTAGTCTAAGACACTTAGACACTTGGACCATGTAAGTCTAAAGAGCTCTATACCAAATATTCCCCAAACAATACCAGTAGTATGATAGATTTGTAAGGCCCCAAGACAGAAAACATGCCCAAATACACATTTCTTCAGATCCCCTTAGTTCTCTTTCCTAATGGTTTCCCATTGTAAAGGAACTTTTTGCAAATTTTACTGTTAGAAATAAGGCCACATGAAAGACCACATTAAAGAAATTTCTACATGATTAATGACTCAGCTTGTAATTTACTTGGAATCTGCTTAGCACAAACTAAATGGGAAATCAGGGCTGTAATTCAACCAATAAATCTCACTTTTTGGTATATGTATGTAAAAGTATATTGTAGATACATCTGAAATGCAAAGATGAGTTTCAATGGCTTTTTGTACATTTCTCTGAGAAATCTCACTTAAGTAATGTTGATACCATGCTGTCTTCCCCGAAATGGAAAAGTTTGTAGCTGACTACATACACCTTTTCTCAGGTGTCCTTATAGGTCCTTGGACTATTTAAGCCTTCTCATTCACCTTTTATTTATTCAAAAAAGAATCCATGCGGATGCATCATCTCCCTTTTTGGAACAAGGTTTCCTCAAAGTGTCAGCAACTCGAATACGACGCAGTAAGTTCTGTGGCCAAACAGTTGCACAGGAGGGTGACCCAAGACAAGCAACATTTTAAGGAAATTTAGTGCATGTCATTACTTGCTCCCCCTCATCGCCGAGACACTCGTGTCCCCCAGGGACATATAATCCCCTAGAGACATATAATTACTCTGGAAAATCAACAGATAAACTTCCATTGAAAAGCCTGAAGGTATTTAGTGGAAAAAAAAATTCTAAACACCTGGTTTTCTCACTATTGTGACAAGGAATTTTGCAAGGAAATAGTGTATTTCAACCACCTGAAAAGTAACAATGGAAACAGGATGCAATGAGGATATAGATATTTTTCACAGAAGTTTCCAAAACAAGTTTGTCACACTGGTGTCTGTTCAAAATTAATGTAGAAATCCATTGTGACACTTCCCTTTTTGTGCATTTGCTTTAAAATGGGAAATATTTGAAAGTGACCTGTAGTAAATATGACATTTCTATAATCTTCCTGTTTAAATCAAAACAAAACAGTACTCTGTAGTCCTCAGTGTGTTTAAACATGTGTTCTATAGACCGGAAACCTGGGCAGCAACCAAGAGTAATCTGTTCAATGTGGTGTAAATTCACAATAAGGAAAACATACGAAACAATCCACAATTTCTACAATGTCTACAATTTCTTCCTCTCCTACTGTTTCCTCCATTCTAAAATTCAACAAAAACATTTGTGTATAGAAATGCACAAAGCTTCCATGGAAACATTCCTCATTTCTTCCTCTCTTCCCAAGCATTTCCAATTCACTCCTGAGTTGCACACACTACTTTGCCTTGGTAAGACAATTTATTTCTTGTTTTCTTACCAGATCGAAAGCGCTCATCCCTCGAGTTGGTGGAACGGGACTTCTGCTGCTTGGACACAGCAGCTGTAGCTTGTGAAGAGCCTGGGACTCGGTTCTCTGCTTGCAGAGATGGATCCACCCCTGAAATACAGCTGCACTTCAGTACAAGGTCAGGTTCCAAATAAGCATATTTCATGATCTCCTCCTTTCACCACTCTTCATCTCTACTTACAAAATAATTGAAGAACTAAGTTTATTTCTTTACAAGTCCCATTTTCTTACTTTAAATTAGCATTTTCTGAAGCAAAACCTAATTTAATCTGATTAGCATTTTATCCAGAATAGAAAGCACTTTTGAACAATGGAGATAGAATCGAGGAAGGATGACGATGATGTTTCTATCTCAGTCAGTGTTCTGCATCTCAGCTGGCCACTGAGAGCAGAGGAAGGAACCAAGCTCCTCTTAATCCCTCATGCTCAGTTTACTGTAAGATGATGAGAGAGAAAACTGCAAACCATCCAGAACTAAGAAGCATCTAACCCCATGAACATAAAGGTAAGCCTGGAAACAGCAAGCAGAAAAGAAAACCAACTTCCTCAACCAAAGCAATGTAAGGTTGTTGCAAAAATGACTACAATTATGCAGCAGACCACCAGTTGCCAAAGAGGTTTAATAGTAAACTGCCTCTAATCTACATAAACTCAGCTGCACCAAGTCAACTATGTTACTGTGTTATGTGAAGCAGAAAGCCCATCTAATAAACTCAATTGGTTCGACATATCTTATACCTGAACAATGGTGCAACTACTTCAGAATTGTGCTTTATACTTCACATAATTAAAAAGTTTTCCTTCTCCCCAGATCAAGAGCCCAGCTAGATTTGTTGGTTTGCAAACAGTTAAACCAACTTTCTGAGTTCGCAACCAGTGAGGGAAAAAAAAAATAAAGAGGAAAGTCATCTCCACCAAGCCTGGGCCAAGAAAATAACAGATGCAAGAAGCTAATGTGATAACTGAGGGGGCGAAGAGGAGGAGAAAAGGGATGAGCAGCTAAGCTGAGCATCTCCCAAAAATAGACCATCTATTTATGAAACTTGTCAACAACAGCAAATCTGCATTAGGAGGCTCCCCATCCAAAAACGGGCCAAATATGACATCAATTTTGTGTGATCTTGTCTCTAAGGACATTGCAGAAAGAGGCAACAAAGCAGAATGAGATTTTTTTTGCCTTTTTTCTTTCTGGAAGAGGAGGAAGGGTATTAACAGTACGTGGAGGAAGAGATTTATGTCCTACTCAACCCAGGACATGAAATACCCTGTTAATGGCTTCTGCAGACAGGCAGCAAGAAACCAGAGTCCAGACCCGCAAGGCCAGGACCCAAAGACCCTCTCCTCCTCTGGGCAAACACAAAATATTAACCAACACAGGACAAGCTACAGTGACACTCTCCTGAGCCACATGCAACTCAAGCATTGCCATTCAGCCACTCCAATACTGGCGTTTTGGGGAAGGGGAGACCATAAATGAATCCAAAAGATGCATCAAAGCCTAATATCCTCAAAAGCAAAAGCCTCTCTTCTACCAGCTCTTACAGAGTACATATCTCTGTGGATCAGAATTAGGGTAGCTGCATTGCAATGAAACAATATTTCATTAATATGTATTAATGAACCACACAAGCTCTTTTTAGGTCAGAATGGTACACAAAGATCAGTGGCATAGTCAGAAACAAAGCTTGTGTTTCTGCATATTAAATCTCCCTTTTCCCTTTCTCGGGGAAAAAGGTTTCAGGACATAATGCAAAGCACCAAGAAAAAGCTCTGAAAAATATCACTTCTTTTCTGGTAAAAATAAAGTGACTAAGAGCTTGCACCTAAAGCTCAAGCTCCATGGTTACATCCCAGAAAAACTCCCTCCTGCAAGCCTGAGGAAACTGTTAGTTTATTCCACTACTATGCAAATCACTGCCTTCCTCCCCGTTAGCAAAACGAGATGGATATTTAGGCTACTCCCACCTTCCACTCACAGTAATGATGGGCAGGACCTTTCAAACACACCATTTTAAAAACCACTCATTAGAGAAACTCCATCTCCACAAATATTTATTAAAAGAGCCCTTCCTTTCTGAGACAATAACCTCATCCAATTTGTTAAACTAAACATGAAACACTTTGCAATACAAGCATAGCTTAATGTTGCTTTAGACTCGCCGGCAATTTGCAGCATTCAGTGGAAAATCTCTCATAAATGAGGTTAACTGTAAAATTAAAACTAAGAAAACATAGAAACTTTCTAGAAGTCCCCTAAGCTTCCTAAAGCTGCCATAAATAATAGCTTATACATGGTTTTGATGGAGTGATTACAACCAATAATCTCAACAGAGACTTTAGGAGTCAAGTATCATTTTAATGGTGCTATAGGTAAAAAATACTTTTCTTCTGTAAACTATTTTGTGTATATACAATTACAGCTACATACAAGTTTTTCCCCACTTATTCCCCACAGCTAATAAGTTATGCCTGTACATGTCAACTAAACAGACATTTAACCACAGTGTAAAATCAAAATGCTGCATGGAAAAGACCTTGATTTGAGAATTTGTGATGCACACAGGCTTCATCATCATCATAAGAAAAAAAAAAGTGCATTTTACAGCAATAAATTTGTAACTATGCTGCAGGTGACAACATGCTTCTTGGCTACATGTGAGCTCAGAGGTATAAAGAACCAAATTTAACCTCTAGCTATGCTACTTTTTGCAAAATAGCATTTGAGCAAATTGCATAGCTACCCCCTTCCATCTCAAAAAAGCTTTATTCTCCTTATCTCTCAACAGCACAGACTCCCCTGCTAGAGGACTTTCCTGGGGAACATGCAGAGCAGTGGCCCTTCTGCCTCTTCCATCTTGCCTATATAAGACAAGTCCATTACTGCAACTGAATTGAGCTGTGTTTTAAAGGTTCTTCCCCAATGCTTCAGCAATTTCTTCTTTGTGAGAGTTATTAGACATACGCATTTAATTATCTTTGCAAAAATAACCCCATTCGTACTGAACTGCAGCTCCTAAAAAAGAAATTCAGACAAATTAATTTCATTCCTAAACTAGGTTAATATATGAGAGACAGTTGCGCCAGTTTATGAGCCAAATCTTTCCAAAAAATATTCTTCTCCCAATTTTAAGATAAACTGAAAAGTAAAAGCAAAGCAGTTAAAACACTGCAAGAAAAATCCACTCATCCCAGTTTTACTCGCATTGCCTTGAGAGCTATACACTGTGCCTCCAGCCACTCAGTCTGGAGGAAAAAAAAAAAAAAAAAAAAGAAAAAAAAGATGGATCACATTAGAGAGAGCTTTGCAGAGAGGAATGGGAAAAGGGAGGCCCAAAGGGTAATGTGAGGCTGTGGGAGCATCTTATATTGGTCACTGTTAAGTCTCTGTGCAGCTGTTGGACTGGTTCTAGGAATAAGAAAGAAACAGAATGAGAAAAACACAAGTGTGAAGTGCAAAAGAAAGGGAAAAGGAGTGAGACAAAGCAGAAACTGGAACAAGGCTGGGAAAATGCTGGTCTGGCTCCAGGCCAGCCTTTCAGGCCGTTGATTCTGCTGCAGCATCTCCTCCATGTCCATCCAGCACCATCAATGCTCCCTCTGGCCCCCGGTGCTTCGCTGCCTTTCTGATATCACCCAGTACTCAGGTTGCCAATACCCAACAGGAGAGGAACAAAGAGTTTCTTGGTTCCCTCTCTGCTCTACCTGGACCAAAGCAGAGAGAGACTTTCCGGAGTTTCCCTAGACTCTCTTTAACTGAGGAACATGCGAGGTGTTTTCCAGTAGGGTGTTCAGGCCGATGGTCGCACGCAGCAGCCACTCGCACGGCCTCGCGCCCCGTGGCAGAAGAGGTGCGCCACAGGTACACAGGTACAAAGCTTCTCAGCCACAGGACGCAGCCGTGACACTGTATTCTCGTCCTCCTTGGCTTCTTCTCCTTCTTTGGCTCATAGTTCAACTTTACCATTCCTTGCACTCACACCACATCCCGGGATGTATCCCCTCATACACACATTTTTAGCTTGAGGAATGGCTGAGGTGCTCTACTTCTGGGCCAGTAAAACTGAACAAGGGTCCACCCAAATTCACTTATTGGTTGGCACAACATATTAGAAAACAAAAAAAGCAGCCGATACATTACATCATCTTGTGTTTTTCTACAACATTTTTGTCTACACCGACTGCAGATCGAAATTTTGTTGCTAAAAGTTCCCCAAGAACAATTCTTAACTAGATAAACTCCCTTTTAATGACCTTTATGAAGAACTGAGTTTTAAGGATCTCTCACCCAAAATTACACAGTGGGTATAATTAGCACATCAATAGCTTCAAACTTTCTGCACATAAATTTCTATTTGGAGATAAATGAAACACTCAAAGGCTTTTTTTCCTTTCTCCTGAAACAAGCATGCTACAGCAGAAAGAAAAAAATGCAAAAGCACCAAAAGTCTCAATAAAAATAATTAATGAATCTCAATCTAGCCAGGAAACTCAACTATCTAGAAGCAGATACTGACAGCAAAAGTCACACCAATTTACACACTGTGAGCGGGCTGCAGAAAACCTAGGTGACCTTAGCTCAAGGTTTTGCTTCTTAAAAGCTTTTGCTTCACTATCATATTTCAGTGTGATATTGGCTGCATCACTTTATAAATTTGGGTGCATTTGCTGAACCAGCATTGGTGATGGCTATTTTAGCACATCGATAAGGAAGGGGAAGCTACCAAGGTTGATAGATGCAGCCAGGTTTTAGTCATGAGTTTGAGCCAAGTAGGAGGCACTGTCAATTGAAAGAGTTTCTGAAACTGCAGCAGCACCATCTGCAAACACAAAGCAGTGACAAGTGCTACCATCTATAAAACCCACGTAAGGAAACAAGAATACATGAATGCTGTATCCAAGTCTGCATTGTATCTAGGACATGCATTATCTCTAGGTAAAACCCTGGGATCACAGAAGCAGGGTTTTCATTTTTAAAATGCAATGATAAAATGTATTTACTCAGATGCTTCCAATGAAATGAAAATTTTTGAGTTTAATGTACTACTGTGGAGTATTTGATCATTTGCTCTTAGCTGTTTCACAATCCAGCC